TCACTTTTGGTCCATGTCCCATCTTCCCTTTGTATGTTTAGGATCTTATTCCGGTTCCTTCTGCCTTTGACACAAGCATGGAAGTAATGAGTATTCCGATCCCCTTCCCTTAACCAATTTACTCTAGCCTTTTGACTCCAAAACAACTCCTCATCCTCATATGCTAGCCTTAGTTGGTTTTTCAGTTCTTTGTATCTCTCCCGACTATTATGGTCTGACCCCTTTCTGATCTTCCCCAACTTATCCTTCACCTCCTCAATTCTCCTTCTTGAATTCTCCTGAAAATTATTCCTCCACTTCAGTAACTGTATCCTACAATTGGCGATTTTTTTTTTTATCTTAAACATCCTGGATCCCTCCCACTCCACGTTCCATGCTCTTTCCACTACCTGCTCCATGCCTTCCTTATTTAACCATCTTTTATCAAAATAAAATCTTTTTTTCTTTTTTCCAACTGGGGGGCATGAGTCTATTAGCAGTATACTGTGGTCAGACCCATAGTTTTCCACATGTTTACACACTACTCTCTCAAACACTTGGAACCATTCTGTACTGGACAAAACTCTATCCAACCTTTCCTTGACTTCACCCTCCCTGTCCCAGTTGTTCGACCAGGTCCAGGGGTTGCCCACAAAACCAATGTCCACCAAGTTGTTGGTATCAATGAAGTTCCTAAAGTCCCTAAAGGTCCACTCCTCTCTAAATCTTCCACCCCACTTCTCATCATTTGAAATGATATCATTAAAGTCCCCCGCAATGATCCATTTGTCACCCCACAATATGCTTCTATCCTTAATAACTTTCCATTGTTCCTTCCTAATAAGAGCATCACAGCTAGCGTACAAACCTATAAACCACCAATTTAGTTGTGAGTCCTGGTCGTACAGATGAGCTTCCAGAGTGAAGGCTGATTGGAGGACCTGAACCACTTTAACTTCCCTTTTCCACATCAAGGCCATGCCACCTGACCTGTTCATAGCTTCCACTACTATACTCTCATCAAACCCAAGTTTTTTCCTAACATTCTCCATACACCTTGCTTTGTTCTTAGTCTCACTGAGAAAGATCATATTAGGGGAGAGGAGGTTATTAGCCTCATTCAGCTAGGGAATTGTCAAGGGGCTCCCTGCACCTTGGCAATTCCACACCAGCACTCTTATTTTCCTTTGGGAGACCAGGTTTGGCTGGCCTCCACCCCCTCAGAACTGATCACATCACCTCCTAGTCCATCACTCTTCTTGTTCCTCTTTAAATTCAAATCTGACATCTCAATATCCTCCCTTTCCATCTCTATCTGGCTACTCTTTCTCTTTGCTTGATTTCCCAGTATCCCACTAAAACCATTCAGCTCCTTCACTGGCCGTCTGGCTCTAACTTGTGGTTTGTACTGCCTCCTCCCCCCCTTTACATGCTTGACATTTAGTTCCTGCTTCTGTTCTCCAGAGTCTGTTTCCATATGAACTGTATCATCTTTATCCACAATCTCTATATTCTCCTTTACCTTTGCCAGACCCCCGTGGCTTTCCTCCTCTTGCTGTTTAATGTTATCCGGCAGTGTGACCTCCTCTTCACATTGCTTTTTCCTTTCTGCCAGTTCCTTTTCAGGCCCTTCAGCACTTGTGAAACTTCCCTTCCCTACTGGTATTCTTATTTCCAGACCTCTTCCCATACTACCAAAAACACCTTCACTCTTACCTTTTCCTTGATCCCGTTGAACTATATTCTGGCCATCTGTGTTCCCTCCCAAGAAGTTTAAGTCCGTTAGCTGTCCTTTAAGCTCCAGGCCGGAGCATGACTTGCTACCCCCCTCTATTCTAACATTCCCCTTCTGTACATCCTCCCCTATACCTATCTCTTTAGCACCGCCTCCCTCCTTAGGTATCAGTTCACCATTTTTAAAACCCCATACAGTTCTACCTTTTGTATATCTATTGTCTGACTGGCCTTTCTGTGGTGATCCCTTTCCCCAGTTTGCTCTCATCCACGGTCCAAACTGATTATCCACCTTATCCTTTCCCACTCCCATCTCCGATTTGCAAACTCTTTCACTGTGCCCCACTATCCCACATTTATAACAAAAATCTGGGCACCTTTCATACCTAAAGGACAACCACTTAACAATTCCATTTAGCTGGACTGTCGTTCCTCTCATTAGAGGCTTGGAGATGTCTGTTTCCACTAGGATTTTTAAATGCCTTCCTTCCTTGCCCCCTATTTGGGGAACTATCACTTCTCTGACTCCTGTGAAAACCTTCCCAATCTTCCGTCCCACATCTTTTGATATCCAATGCACAGGTAGGTTCCAAACTTGAATCCAGAGTGGTGCTATTCTAAAAGCCATATCATCTTCCTCAAACCCTTCTGACCATTTGTTTATCACCAGGATTTGATTATCCAGGATCCAGGGGCCACCCCCTAAGATCCTTTCCCGCTCCTTTTCAGCTGGTAAGAAGAATTGAAAGAGGTTGGGTCCAAGTTCAACTATCACCAGATCCTTAGGGTACCCCCAAGCCGTGTTGACAAAATTTTTAACTCCCACAAAGTTAGCCATTTTTTCACCACTATTTTTCCAACCAAACTGGCCTGACATTCTTGTATAGCAGTATTCACATCTCCAAGATCCAACGCTGCTCCCCCTAACTCCTCCTCAGACAGGGCAAACTTTCTTAATATGTCGGCTAGCTCTTCCGCCATCGTATTCAAAAGAGATACTTATGGAATGTCACACTGAAAACCAAACAAATCTAACAACCACCACCCAAAGCTTAGCAAAAGGAAAAGAGAGAAAAAAAGACAAGTTCCCACAGAAGCTGCTTGTAGGAAACTAAACACTGAGGCCTGAATTAGTGCACCTTCGAATAATGCAAGGAAACGTAGAAAACAGATTTTAAAGGTACCTGTCTCTAGCAATGACTGGTGACTTGGGTGCTCCGCTAGTGTGATCCACCTCCTTGTCCCCCACTTTGGGTTAACTTGTCCGTATGGCGTCTAGAAGCATAAAGTGCTTCTTTCTTTAAGGCGTGTTTATTTCTGATCCAGCTATAATCCTCCTTTCCGCTTGTTTGAGCTGATTTTGTAACTTTCAGTGAAGAAAACAGAAAAATGTGTCCTTACGAATCCGTACTTGTTAGCCAGATCGAAGCTTTCCTCGTAAATGCTTGGTTCAAGGGCAAATTTTTGGAGCCAAATCCAGAATTTTGAACATTTTTGAACTCTCAAGAACAGAGAGAAAGGGCTCTCTTCCCAAGAGAGAGAAAATTTGAACTCTCACTAAGGAGGGAATTTGAATGCCCTCCTTATCCATTAGGCTATTATTAGGAAGAGTTTTTCTCTCTGAAGTGGTAGTTCGAATGCAAATATTTGGTATTTTGTTCAGCATTTTTTACAAGTCCTTCTTAGGGATTGAAGCCATGGTTCAAAGTCGTGGTCACGATCACGATCCGAACCGTTTCACATCGGTTTCAACATATCGATCGTGATTTCAACGAAACGAAATTTTGAAATATTTAATATTCTAAAAATTATAAATAATATAAAAAATATGCTAAACAAAAATAATAAAACATTAGCAAAAAATATCGGTAAAATGTACTTTTTTGATTGGATTCGAGTTGATTCAGAACGACACGTTGTGATTCGGTCATTTTTATCCTTGCCGGAGACTGCTCGATCGAATTTTCGATGACTTGACCTAATTTTCGACGATCCATATATCTTAGAGTAATTCGTCTTTGTATAAGAACGAAGAGCTCCGTTTCGGTAACGATTCGCTGAGTCGTCTCGGACTCGACCGATTCTTTGAACCATGATGATTGAAGCCATCAAAGCTGTGTCTGTCTTCGAAAGATTTGAATATAATGGAACCTACACTCACTGCAAAAATCCTACTAGTATGTTCAAGGAAGTATTGCACATTGTTAAATTGTTTTAATACACAAGGAAAAATAAGTGCAGATTGTGAATCAGCTGTAAAAAAATTTATAAGGATGCAAGATAGCGTGGTACATGGTGACGATGTAGTACATAACAGCTGCAGAATTTGTTACTACTCTACGGAACGAACTTTTTTTTTTTTCTTTCTTCTTTTTTCTTTAACGTAAATGTAGGTTTCGAATCCGAAACTTGTTATTTACATTCCCTCCTCTGCCGTGTCATCCAATCCATTACTCTCCAAACTTATTGATTGCTAAATTCTACACCCCACTGACAAGTTCTCGGTAGATGGTAGAACAGCTAGATCATCATATTCACCATGTATGGCTCATGAGAATTGGCCTGATTGACTGGCTTCTTTATTTTATTTTATTTTATTTTATCCAATGTTTAGTCAATTTCTGTACTTTGGAATATAAGCGCATTTTGAATTGTGGCCATGCACGTGACAAAGAATTGAAGAACCTGATGATTTAACTGAAAGGAATGAGGATTAGAGCAAAATGTCAAATTTGTTGCTAGAATGTGTATGATTAATCTCATCAGTCATGAGAACAAAATTCATAGACATCTGTTTCTAGGATAATTTATCATTTACTCAGACGTAGAGAAATACATGATAATCAAATTACTTTGATAATTAATAAAGATTTGCACCGCTCATTGCATGATTAATCTCACCTAGTATAGAGCATAGGGTCCGTGAAAGAGAAGATGACAAGATTTATACCAAAGTAACCAATTTTTGACAAATTTCCAAACCTGATATCCATCCGGGGACTGGCCCCATGAACTTAAGGCTTCATCTTCATGTAATTAGAGAAACTGCAAGGCTAAAAATATTCCAGACAGACTTTAACATATATTCGACAAACAAGAATTAAACAAGAAATATTCAATGATGCATACTAATAGCATATAGTAGCTGGTCATTATTTTGCATATCCAGCTTTCTTTCCCATGACAAGGAAGTTTGTTGATGAAGTAGATAAAGTATAACAAAATTGAATACATTCAAAAAAAAAAAAAAAAAAAGAGATGCTGAATCTGAGTGAATTTCAGTAAATTCATCTCCTGCAACGGGTGATAGCGGAACATCCTCTGGAATAGGGGTTGACTGGGCGACGTGTTCTGTAACAGTGGTGGGTATAGTAAGACCTTCCAGAGCGAGGCGGGCAGGGGATTCTGTTGGCAGCTAATGCCCCATAAGAAATGTAATAACGCCTTGGCCTGCTTGATCTGTAGTAGTAGTAGAGTAGTGTCCTCCCATGATCACCAACCTCACCGCCACCATCTTCTTCTTCTTCTTCATCTTCAAGACCATCTTCGCCGGGGTCGAAGAATGTGCTGTTGTTCAAATGCCAGCCAATAGTTTCAGTTGCAGACATGTGCTGAAGGCTGCTGTGATCATTTTGGGCGCTCACATTTGGATTGATAGTTTGGAAGAAAATGAGTAGCAAAAAGAGGGAGCTCAGAACTAGTGCAGGTTTGGGACGTGCCATGGCAGGCTGGCCTTGATTTTGCTACGGCTATTCCAAGTAGAAGTGCAGCAATTGAGGGGTTCTTGAATGTACAATAATTTCTATGGCAGATTCTGGTGGTGAGTTTGAAAGAAGTATGGAAAGAGGCATGGAGGGGAGGGGAGGAGAGGTGGTCACATGGAGTATATGAAATCGAAGCGCCGACTGCTAAATTGGTAATTGAGGCGCTTGCCTGCTCGTCTGTCTGCAACTCTGCATGGCACGTTCTAATGTTGTTCCTTGATTGACGCCCCGTATTCCTTTTATTTATTACTAATATATTTTGTCCCGGTTTGTTTGACTAGGGGTGCATTTGATAAGATTGAAGTTTAAAATTTGAAAATTAAGGAAGGAAAGTATTAAGTTGTTGAATTGATTAAGTTATATTTGTTTGGTAATTAACTAAATTATAATACTAAATTGAAATATCGCAAAAATATTATACTTCTATTTTTTTGTATATATAAAAAAAGTAGTATTTAGAGAGAAAGAAAAGATTGTGTGTATGTATGATAGAAAATAATGAAACAATTCAAAGACATTATTACAATTTAATTCTTGTTTGAGTTTTTCTCAAATAGCAAATTGAGTTAATTTAACTAACTCTTCATACATCTCAAGAATATTTATGCCGGAAAAGAGGAAATACATGTTTGGCATCAATTACTTACTTGTTTGGCGTCAATGACTTGAGCTTCTTGACAGTAACATGAATCCGAAGTGATTAATTAATAGAGCAAAGCAAATTGAAATCAGAAATTCTATGACGACGTTCAATTCTCGTTGCTGGCTAACATCCGTGAGGCAATGGAATGATCCTTGCTTCTTCGAGTAAACCTCATAAGATTACATTGCTGTTAATATTTAATTTGTGATTTTACAAACAATTTGCTAAAGGATCGCCTTATAATCCCAACCAAAACTGCTATAACCAAGATAGCAAATTCGAGTTGATGACAAAATATGAGAATATATAGAGCTAAAGCCAAATGTATTTTAGAATCTCGACTTTAATTATTAGATCAACATCTTCAACATCTTCTCGCCAGTGAAGCTGATGTTTCACAAATGGTATTTCATCTCAATCTCTGCTTCCTTATTAAATTACACGTCTTTGATTAACCATTCAATGCTAGATACAAAGCAACTCTCTCAATTAATTCTATACCTTGAGGTGGGTAGTAGGTACTCGACCTCTTTCTTATTTTACTATTTGGGTTTTAGGTCAAAACGTCTGACTCTTTCTACCGTTTGATAGATTTATAAGGACTAGATACAGTGTTGTGATCTTTGCCATACAAATGTAATCCTTTAATTCGTAAGGGAAAAAAAAAAAACTGCAAAAAGTTGACACAACAAGAAACAAAAATTCTAATCAATTCATCAAGAGCAAGTTGGCCACCGAAAGGGATATAGATGGTCATAAAAAAAAATACGGAGATTCCTTCTTTAAGTTTTGGATTATGAGTTCAAATTAAAGCCAAAAAAGTGTGTGTGTTAGTGCCATCAAGCATGGCAGAACCAAGACCTAGAGTTAGGGTCCGTTTGATAACATTAAAAAGTGTTGAAACTGAACTTTTCAGATATTCAAATATTTTGAATATTTGATAAATAAAAATCCATCTACTCAACTTGTTAAGCAATGCTAAAGTTGTGTGTATTTTTTTTTTAGCACAAGAATCCTAACTGAATGCTTAATTCAGATAAGAATTAATAGAATTACTTCAACTACCTTATCTTATCTACCAAATATACCCTTATTTGTTAATTATGTTCAAATTCTTATCTAATTAAACAACATGATATTCTCTATTTAGGGGTTTTCTATTTCTCTTTTCTCCCTTTTTAATGACTTTCACACTTCTCCGTACTCCACATATAATATATTTAATCTTTTTTATTAATTTGATTTAAAAATAAATATTGTCATTTTCATACCTAACAATTTTAAGTTAATTAGATCATAGGTTTTATTTCTTTTTTGGATGAAAAGATATCAGGGCAAAATTGTCAAATTTAACTTATTAAGCATTCAGTTATAAAATGTTTATCAAATGGTATAAATAGGTTTAGCATTAAAATTCAGACATTTATATATTTTTTCAGTACTTAAAATTCAGTAAATTAATTGTTTCATTATTCAGATTTCAGAATTCAAACTTCAGAATTCAGATTCAGTTTTATCAAATGGAACTTTGGGGAGTGTAACCATCAACTGCAGAGCAAGTTAAGGATAGGATTTACAAACAATTACATTAGTAATAGTTGGAGTCGGTCGAGGGTTGATACTGCATTGTTAACTAGTAGTTAAATTGATATGCTAATCCCAATACTTTTAATGGAGTCAATAATTTTTCAGGCACCCAAATATAATTTAGTAAATTTCTCATATATGTATTTCCATGAAAAAGAAATTAGAACTTAGCATTTTTCACTTATTTTATTAATTAGATGAATAATTATCACTGGTATTTCACAAAATGATATGTTTAATTTAGTCAAGTATTAAATCTCAGAGCATTTAATACCAAAATAAGTTATACAGTTACAAATCATCGAATAGTTAGTGACTTGATTATCAACCGAACAAAAGACTAATAATAAAAGGTAATTCAAATTCAACAAAGAAAGAAATATTCAAAATGTATTTTGTAATACACTATCGGATTTATCTCTTTCATTTTGCACTCTTTTCTCTTAATTCATTTTTCTTCTTAATTTCGGCCTTAATTTTCTAATCCCTTGTATAACCAGTAAGGTTCCTCGTTCCCCTCGGGCTCGTAAGGTACAAGCATTGTCATTTGTTAAACAAGCAAAAATCATAAGATTCGTGCCCATATTTTTCACAAAAATTTTTGAAAAAAATTAATTTATGGCCTTGGTGAAGGGTACAAGAATCCAAAGCTGAATTTATTAGATTGCTGCGGTCCATCCCACAAAACTCCCCCTCTTTCCCCACGGCCCAATCCAACAAGGCCAACGAAAGATCCCTTATTTCACACTACACCACATGATAAACTTCCGTTTCAAAATTCCTCGAAACTACAAGGACCAAAAGGCAAATAAAAGAAGAATCTTCCTCCGCCGAACCACCTCCAGAATATTTCCCAAACAACCCCCTCTACTCCCAACTTCCTTCTCTCTCATCTTTCTCGCCAGCTATGGCTTTTCCTCATCACCATTTCCAACAACACCACCACCACCTCCAGCAACCACCGCCCAAGCAGCAGCAATCTTTAAGGTAAAAATTTTCTGGGTCCCCTTAAATTCTCTTATATCTCTCTATCTCTCCACAAATCCTCATTTCTTTTTATTTTTCAGGGACATTTACAGCAACATGGAAGCCGCCCAGATTTCACCGCCGGTGGCCTTCTTCAATGGGATGAATCTCCCTGATCAATCCAACCACCCTCCTTATGTCCCTCCTTGTAATTATCATCTCTCAACTATTAACCTTTGGATCACATTTTTAGAATAATCTGCAATTTTCTGACCAAAAAATTTGGTCTTTTTGTACTTTGTTTGTTTGTTGAGCCCAGTTCAAGTTGTGGGCTTAGCTCCGGCGACGGTGGAGGAGCAAGGAGGAGGGCTGGAATTGCAGTGGAATTACGGGTTCGAGCCGAAGAAAAAGAGGCCCAAAGAGCAGGATTTTCTTGATAATAATCACCATAATAACAACAATAATAATTCGCAGATGTCTTCTGTGGATTTCTTACAGGCTCGATCAGTGTCAACCGGGCTGGGCTTGTCTTTGGATAATACCAACAACAACAATACTAATAATAAAACCTGGTTGGCTTCTTCTGGTGACTCAGCTTTTCTAGGGATTGTTGGTGATGAACTTGATCGTGAGTTCCACAGGCAAGATGCTGAAATTGAAAGATTCTTAAAAATTCAGGTAACTTTAATCCTTTTCACGAGTATCTAAAGTTTATAATTTAGGAAAGCTGAGATTTTTATTGTTTATTTTACCTGGTTTGGCATTGTATTACTATGATTTCTGTTACTGTTTCAGTGCAAAGTTGTTTTAGCCCAAGAAGTGAGATAAACTATAAAGTTAATGTCATGGGTTGCCTTCTTTTTTGTCCTCCTTTTTTTTTTTCCCCTTTTTTTGTGTTGGGGTGGGGGGTGGGTGGGTTTGGTTTAGTTCCTGAGTGGTTTGACCGATAACATTGTGCTTTGCAAAGTAGTCTTGTGTCGATGGGGGTTTTAAGATTTGGTAGCAGATAGTGGCTCAGTGGCTGAAGTAGGAAATGTGGTTCTTCAATGGCAGAAAGATTATTATTCCTTTTTTGTTTCAATATTATTTGCCTTTTTGTCACTAATCGTTTAGGGTGTTTTGCCATCGATGCTGTTGAGAGTTTTTTGTTACCATGCACCTGTGTTTCAAGCATATGGAAAGCGAATTACTGATGGCCCTGATCTTCTAAGGGAAAGGTTGGTTGTGGTCTCCAATGAGCTTTCGTATGCAGTTTAACACCTTGCTGCCAAATAAAGCGCTTTACTATGGCAGTGTGGCATCAGGGTTTAGGTGATAGTGAGGACCACTGTTGTCTGAGCGGGTCTTGATTTTGTGACTCGAAGTTCAGTTTGTATGTTTAACTAACTAATAGGATTGCTGAATTATCTTTCCAACCTGAGCTTCTCCATTGTTAGGTTATCTCAAATAATACTAATTGGACTAGGCAGATTTGACATAGATAAATTATTTGTATTGATTAACTTGAACACTCAGGAATTTTATTTTACATTGACTAAAAATGGTCATGTGCTTACTTGGGACCTAGCTATAATTTGATTACAAAACATTTAATGCTCTCAGGGTGACCGATTGAGGCAAGCTATTTTGGAGAAGGTTCAGACAAACCAGCTCCAAACCATCTCGTACGTTGAAGAGAAAGTCCTGCAGAAACTCCGTGAGAAAGAGGCAGAGGTGGAAGACATTAACAAGAAGAACATTGAACTGGAGCTAAGAATGGAAC